TTCCCAGAGGCATGTCCTGATACCGTGCCCTGGGTCCCACCCCGTAGCGTGGGACAGCAGCGAACAGACCTTGTGTCCGGGGGGTATAAAGGCCGCCTTGGCCAATGGTTTCAAGTGGTAGCTGTAGTTCCCATAACAGTACCGACGATGTCAGTGAGGGCATCGATGATGACATCTCTCCGTCTGTCTTTCCTTGGTGTTGGGGGCCAGCCAGCAGAGGCTGACTCACTCGCCCCCGGTGGCAGAGTGAAGCTGCCGCGTACAGGGTCTCCAAGGTAACATCTTGATGGGAGCCGGACCCCAGCGCTTTCTCCCGCGGAGTGGGGCTGCCGGCGGGGCTGCCGGCGAGCTGATGGAGTCCTTCCTGTTCTGTCGGGAGGGAGGGCCTGAAAGGTCAGCAGTTTGATCCCAGCAGAGGCTCCGAGGGACAGCCCCACTCTGTCATGTGGTGTCCACCCATGACATCAACTGCATTATCCTCCCACGAGACCCCGGAGCCTGCAAACCAGGAAAGCCCGAGTCAGTAGGGGTGGCCGAGGAGCCCAGCCCCCACTGTTGCTGCAGGGAGACATGGCCCTGTCCCCTCCCAGGACCTGCCTGGGTGGTTTTCAGAGCAGAGGCCCCCAAGGATGGCCCCCTGCAAACTCTAGATGAAGGTTTAGATCAGGACGCAAACTGGCCCCCGAGGGTCTAGAAAACCGCAGCCATGGAGTGGGTGCTGACTCAGCCCCATGGAGTGGGTGCTGACTCAGCCCCATGGAGTGGGTCTCCGAGACTGCAACTGCTGACGGAGTAGACAGCCCCATCTACTCTCTTTGTGCTCTGTCCATTCTGAATCACAGCCACCCAACAGGACAGCGGAGAACTGCTCCTTGAGGTTTCCCAGACAGTGCGGGAGCAGAGAGCCTCCTCTTTCTCACTTGGAGCGGCTTGTAGGTTTGAACCCATGACCTTGCCATTGCCTAGCTCACCGTGCCACCAGGGCTCCTGCCTATGGAGGAGGAAGCCCAGGATTAGGCAGCAAGTGCCTGCACAGCTCACAAGCACACACTCCTGCCCTGCCACGGTGAGGATGCTGACTCATGGCCACCCTGCAGGACCAGGCAGGACAGCCCATGGGTTTCCAAGGCTGTGGTTCCTTATGTAAGCAGAGAGCCTCATCTTGCTTCTTCGGAGCAGCTGGTGGTCTTGAACCACCCCCTCTGACGGAATGCTTTCCAAAGCTGGTGTTTCCAGCTCGGTGCCTCTGTGTTCTGGTGGTTATCACACAGCACCCCCGCGGGTCACCCCGTGAATCGACCTGCCCCGTGGAGTGCCCCGGAAGGCATAGCTTTAGGGGAGCAGCCAGGTCCTAGCAAGACCCCAGCCACTGTCCCACCGGGGCCCTATTCACAGAGGTTGTTGAATGCCAAGTCTGACTCCCGGAGACCCCATGTCCCCGGGGAGAGCTGCCCCACAGGGTCTCCTGGGAGCAGATGGCCAGGCCTTTCCCCTGCAGAGCGCCCGGTGGGTTTGAACTGCCCACCTCGCGGTCAGCAGCGAGCACTTACCTGCCTCACCATCGGGGCCCTGGGTGGTCTGTGCCGGCAGCTGTCTGTGAAAACCCCTCTCATTGGGACCCGGCTCAGGGCTCAGATCTTCCAAATCCAGAGGGGCCACGGTTACCTGTTGCCATGGGGACAGCGTGCCCTGGGGCGCCCCGAATGTGTCAGGGGGCACTGGTTTGGGGGAGATAGATCACAGGCCTTTCTTCCAAGCCTTCTGACCATTCCATAACAGCCCAGCGCCTTGACCTTGGACACCACCCCAGGCAGCCTTCGGAACAGTGGTGGGGTGCCCAAAGGAGCAGGTCCAGGCCAGCAGTCACCACAGGCTCTGTCCACCGATGGTCGCACTGTGCCTCCCCTGCACAGCCTGCGTCTGCTTCCTGCACAGGCCATCATTCTCCCAGCCCAGGCGCAGACTCTGCCCCCTCCCCAGCCCCCATGCCCACATGCCGCGATTCCAGGGTTGCCCTGAGGGTGCTGGGCTCTGGCTCTGGGCCAGCACCCGGTCAGTGGAAGCCCAGCCCAGTCTGGGATCCATCTGGCGGGAGTGGGGGCAGGCCTGCTGGAAAGGGCCGTTTGGGGAAGCTGGCCCATGGCAGATGAGGAATCGCAAGGTCCCAGCATGTCCACAGCTGGAAGAAGCCCAGGATTCACAGGGTCAGAAGCTGACCCTCTCACCTCACACCCCCAGCCCCGTTCCCCCAGCAGGGGTCCTGCAGCCAACAGGGTCACCCAAGGGCCTGGCTGCTCTTGCAGCTGGCAGCTGGCGGTGCATTTGGCTTCTTCCTCAGCGCTGGACGGTCG